GAGACTGGCTGTCCCAATGAGAGCACCTGGATCAATGTAGTTGGGGCGAAGAACAAAAAGAACATGGTAGTTAGTGTTTACTATCAACCACCCAATTGAGGAAACTTTTGATTCTAGGGATTTCGAAGAGACACAATGTAGTATTGACGGGAGATTTCACTTATCCTGATATATGTTAGGAGGCAAATTTTGCCAAATGTGGCCTTTCCAAGAAACTCCTGACTTGTGTGGCTAAAAATTTTCTTCTACAAAAAGGGGAGAAATAAATTAAAGGGCTAGCTATCCTTAACTTGATTCTAACCAATAGAGATGATTAGGTGTAGGAAGTGGCAGTAAGGGGAACTCTGGGCGAGAGTGACCATGTCCTACTAGAATTCTTGATTTCAAAGGAAACCAAAGCAGAGTGTAGTCACACATATATGCTGGATTTTTAAAAGGCCAGTTTTAATAAACTCAGGACAGCGATAAGTAAGGTCCCATGGCAGGAGATCCTAACAAGAAACGGCATCCAAGAAGGGCTGGAGTTTATAAAAAAGAAAAATTTAAAGGCAAACAATTCCAACAAAAAAAAAAGGTGGGAAACAGCAAAATGAATTAATGAAATAAAAGCAAGCAAGCAAGCAAGCAAGCAAGCAAGCAAGCAAGCAAGCAAGCAAGAAAGCAAGCAAGAAAGAAAGAAAGAAAGAAAGAAAGAAAGAAAGAAAGGCCAGTGTGGAGCAAAGCTCAGAGAGAACTGAAAACAAAAAAGGACACATGTAAGAAGTGGAAAGGAGGCCAGACCACAGAGGAAAAGTACAGACAAGCAGCAAAGAATTGCAGGGATGGCAGGAGGGCTGTGGCGATCAACCTGCTATGGATCATGTAGTAGGTTATTTGCATACACCAATGAAAGCTGTTAGGAGGTGAAGACAGAGAAACCAGAAGGGAGGAGTGAGTCAGAGAAGAGCAGTGAGGAGTTTGTGAGAGCAAGACAGTTAGAGGAAGATCATGAGAGTCTGACGTGAGAAGTCAGTTTGAGTCAGAGATAAGAATGAAGTAGATGTCTGTGAGAGTTAGGAGAGTGGCAGAGTTAAGAGTTAAGGAGAGTTAAGAGTGAAACAATTTATTATTTAACTACTTAATACATTAAGTCTTTGAAGAGCCTGTTTATGTGATCTGTTACTAATAAACCTTTGTTCAATGTTACTCTTAGCTTGGACCTCCATCTTTCTAATTAAAGTTTTTTGACAGAAGTCAACTGGTGGCAGCGTAAAGAAGGGGACACATTGTGGGGCTCAGGCTAGTGAAATAATCTGGGGACATGCAGGGGTGCATCACAAGGGCAAAGGCTAGCAACTGAGGTTAGCTAGAAACACTAAAAGCAACACAAAAGCATTCTTCGGTTTTGTGCATAAAGAAAAACATAAAGAAAAGTAACAATGGTTCAGCAACTCAATAGAGATGGGGAAATGATAACAGACGACAAAGAAAATGAAGAAGTACTCAATTCCTATTTTAGCTCAGTCTTTTTCCAAAGGACAAACTATGACCCTCCAGACAAGTGTGAAGTGCAGGTGGAGGGGACAAGATTGCAGCTGGAGATTGTTAAATAGTCAAGGAATACCTTACGACCTTGAAGAAGTTCAAATATTCAGGGCCAGATGAACTGTATTCAAGAATATTGAAAGAACTCTCTGAAGAACTCTCAGAACCACTGTCCATTATTTTCTAGAAATCATGGGAAATGGGTGAGGTGCCAGATGATTGGATGATAGCTAATGTTGTTCCTATCTTCAAAAAGAGCAAAAAGGAGGAACCTGGGAACCACAGACTGGTTAGCCTGACATCAATCCCAGGGAAAATTGTGGAACAGATTATAGATCAATCACTATGCAAGCTCCTAGAAAACAATGCAGTAATAACTAGAAGCAAACACGGATTTGCCAAGAACAAATCCTACCAAAGTAATCTGATCTCATCTTTTGATCAGGTCACCTCCCTGATAGACAGTGGGAATACTGTAGACATAGTATATCTTGACTTTGACAAAGCTTTTGGTAAAGTGCCCTATGGTATTCTGATTAGTAAACTAACTAGGTATGGGCTGGATAATACAACTGTCAGGTGGATACACAGTTGGCTATAGAATTGTACTCAGAGGGTGATGATTAATGACTCCTCAAACTGCGTGGAGATAACATGTGCAGTACCTCAAGGCTCACTCCTGGGCCCAATGTTCTTCAACATTTTTATTAAAGATCAGGGAATACAGGTAATGCTAATCAAATTTGCAATGACATAAAATTGGGTGGAATAGCTAATATCCTGGAAAAGAGAAACAAGATTCAAAATGATCTGGATGGGTTTTCAGCTCTGAGCTGAGAACAACAGAATGACATTCAACAGAGATAAGTGCAAAGTACTGCACCTAGGAAAAAGAAACCAAACACACATTTACAGGATGGGGGATTCCTGGCTCAGCAATACTGTGAGTGAAATGGATCTTGGGATCGTCATAGATCACAAGCTGAACATGAGCCAACAGTGTGACGTGGCTACAAAAAAGGCTAATAGTATTCTAGGCTGCAATAACGGAAGTATAGTATTCAAATCTCATGAGGTACTCATTTCCCTCTATTTGGCACTGGTTAGGGCTCATCTTCAATACTGTCTCTAGTTCTGGACATTGCACTTCAAAAAGAATGCTGACAAAGTGGAAGAAGCTCAGAGGAAGGCAACAAGGATGATCAGGGGCTCTGGAAACCAAGTCCTATGAAAGACGGAAAGAACTGGGCATGTTTAGCCTTGAGAAAAGAAGACTGAACAGCACTTTTCAAATACCTGAAAGGCTATCATGCAGAGGAGGGGCAGGATCAATTATCAATCATCCCAGAGTGTAGGACTCAAGTTACAGGAAGACAGGTTTTGGTTGAATATCAGGAATATTTTCCTAACTGTTAGAGAGTACAGCAGTAGAGTCAATTATCTCAAGAGGTGGTGAGTGCTCCAACACTGAAGGCAGTGAAGAGAAATTTAGACAACCACCTGGCAGATATCTTTTGATTTGTATTCCTCTATTGAGGAGGGGTTTGGACTTGATGGCCATATAGGCCCCTTCCAACTTCATATTGTATGATTCTAGGTATCATAGCCATACATTTGAAAGCAGTGCTAGTGGGTGGTAGGCAGTGAAGGGGTATGAAGCAGAAATATTATGGAACAGTGGGCATGCACAACACACTGAGGCTTACTTAATTCAAAATGTATGACATGTAATATGCTCTTATTTGCCTGTATTTGACAGCCCAGAACTATTAAAATCAATGGACGCTTTCTTACTGACTTCACTGGAAAATGGATTACCTCTACATACCATCTCAATTAAGAAATCTGAATACACACTTAACTGCTGGAATTCTATTGCAAAGTGGAGCCAACTCAATTTATATTATAATTACTCAACAGGATAACAGTGATTAAGGGACACTTCAATACTGACAGTTGATGGATATTGGAAAGACCTCTCAGGAAAATAACATCTTCCCCCACCCACCCAATCTAGTCTTCAGACAAATTAGCAAAGTGTTTCCTTGAGATGCCTGTTTGTGTTTCAGGAGTAAAAATCCACTATACTTAAACAACAAGTAATAATATTCATTACTTGTTGACTTGAATAAAAATCCATCTGGCATGGTACTGGAGTTGACTGTTTGATTAAAAACAATTTATATTAGGAATTTGGTTATTCCTCGGGTTAGCAGAGCACAAGGCGAGGGGGGGGGAACGTGGAGTGATTTAGCCCACCAGCCCTCCCTTATCACACAAATCTAGTCCTTTCTATAGTAAGAAGTCACTCTAGATGCATCTTTAGAAGAAAGAAATGTTTAGTTACTGTTATCACCTTATCATTAAAATCAGAAGAAAGGGGGTAAAATGGAATTTTTCATGTGGAGCAGGACTCCATGCTTCATTCCTGAAGCTCGGTCAGGAAAGAAAAGGAAGCAAACAGCTAACAAAAGGCCATGAATAAACAGGAAAGGCCTGGCCCAAGGCCAGAGGTGGGGAAAATGTTACAAATCAATTTAGTAGCAACGTGTAAATAATTTTATTTATTTATTTAATTATTTAATTATTTAATTATACCAAAGTCTACTCTGGATGGCTAACAGCAATCCAAATAATAACAGTATAAAACAAAACAACAGCGTTAATACAATTCAAGACAGCAAGAAATAAATCAAGTAATGACAGGAGGGAAGGCCTGCCTAACAATAGGTCCTGTCCCCACTCACTGCCCTCCAGTGTTAAAGAATGCAAGACTGTAATTTTCCCAACATTTTATACACTTACCTGGATAATGCCACTCTTTAAAATGCTTACTATTCCAACTTTAGCAAAATAGCATTGCTGAACATGTTGGCTGAAATCCTGTTGCTTAGTGCAGTAAGCTGCACCAAAGTAGGCCACTTGAATCAGTGGAGATTTCATGAATCATCTCCTCTATCAATTACAATGATTGAAATGAATCAACTCTAATTGTGACTTATTTTTGCATAGTAAGTTATAACTAGAGTAAGCTTATTTAAATAAATGGAATTTATGGAAGAGTTGAGTCACCAAAACCCCACTGATTTAATATCCTACTGTAGTGCAATTTACTCCACTAAGCACGGCATTTCAACCATTGTTTGTGAATGGAAATTGTGCAGCACTAACTCTAAACATCAGATGGAAATTCCACTGAGTTCAGTGGTTCTTGCTCTCTTGCAAGCATGCATAGAATCCCAAATAAACATTATTTTGTTTAATAGGATAATTTTAGAAATGGATTGGAGAGAATATATTTTCAATTTCAGGAGATAACAAAGTATTTAAAGAAAACCACAAAAAGTAACTGGATCTTTGTTTCTATTTATGAGATTAATCATGACTGAAAGTTACTTTTGTTTTATGCTTAAAAATAATTGGTTGATGAAGTTATGGTACTCTTACTTATGTACTGATTTAAAACAACCACTTACCTCTGCTACTTTGGAAGCATTCAGGACTCTGGTATCTTTCTCAATTTCCTTTTGTTTCTGCAAAGCTCTCCACACTGCATTTCTTAAACCCTCCCGATTTGCATCCCTAGAGAGTTGACGATGTAGGATAACTAGATTATAGATCACACCATAACGAATCATCCAGAATGGATCGTCACCTGCAAATAACGATACTAGAGTGTGAATATTTTGACTTTGCTATCAGATAGGGAATGTTTTGTAAAATCACACATAGAGATGTATGAAGTCCAACCTGCTTCAGAGAGCAGTCAGCTGATGCTTTTGCAAACTCAGGCACAAGTTAAAAATGGCATGGCAATTTCAACAAAGGGTGGCAAGCACTTACTCAGAAGAGTATCCAACACAGCGGTCACCTTTTTAAAAAAGCACTTACTAGTGTGTGCATCCGCATGCACTGTTAAGCATCACTTCCTACTGGACCACAAAAATCAGAGTATGCCACTGGTAATGCTAAATGCCAGTTCCCCAATATACAGTATGTAGCAGATAGCTTTTAAAAGAGATGCCAAATGGGTTGAAAATCTACAGAGGTAAGCGACACAATGCTTTTTTTAAGGCATAGCTATAGCCTCAGGATAGATGCCAAAATCTACAGAGGTAAGCGACACCATGCCTTTTTTAAGGCATAGCTATAGCCTCAGGATCTGGAGGTATCCACATTAGAAGATTAGTGTAGAACCAACATATTTCCTTTCTTTTTTAGAGAGGAACAGAGAACAGTGTTACCAATGTGTACCCTGATCTTTTCCATGTTGGCCTCTTGCGTTTTGTTCATCAAGACGTGTAGTTACTTTTAAAAACATAGAATAAAACTGCAGGGAAATTGCCAACTCATGTGAGGGCTTTTTAGTATTACTGTGCTTTTAATAAGTAGCTTCCTCCTTGTTGCTTCTGCCACGTTTACTGCTTTTAGTTCAGTGTGACAGCATTAATAGTTGTTTGATTGCATCTTACTCTCTCAGTTCTTTTTTCTACCCAGGGGAAGAGAAGGAGGTTAATTATTAATTTCCTCCCCCTTTTCCCCCTTTTTATTTCATTGCAAAATAGCACTGCTTCACTAATCTACACTAATAAAGGTGCAATTAAGAGGCAATTCATTAGTAATGCTGCTGCTGTGCTGACCAAGAAGCAATAAAGGAACTGAAACAGCAAGGAGGCATCTAATAATTGTACAGTACTGTTAACGTTCACAATGTATTTTGTAGTTTTACGTTGCTCTGAATTATCCTGACCTCTGCAAAGCAAAAGGTTTTAAATTTTCCATTACAGCAGACATTTGATGAATGAGACTTCTGAATATGTTTTGGTGGAAGTATCTTGCCCACAGGAAGAAGCACTGCCAGATTTTAAGAAGTGTTATGTTCTTTTTCTTTCTTTTCTTCTTTTTCTTTATTTGATTTATACCCTGCCCATCTAGACCGAAGTCTATTCTGAGTGGCTAACAATAAAAAATGGAAGAAAAAAAATATACAGTGGTGCCTCGCATTGCGATGTTAATTCGTTCCGCAAAAATCGCTGCAGAACGAAAATGTCGCTATGCGAGGCACCACTGTATATTGGTTCACTGAATGTAACACAAATGTTGTGAAAGATCACTAAGAAAGCAGAGAAAATTGAGAAAGCATAAAAATAGCTGTCTATGCTCATTTTTTCAATCTGTTTCTTTATAATATACAGTACAGTGGTGCCTCGCTTAGTGATCGCTCCGCATAGCGAAGAAATCGCTTAGCGATGGGGTTTAAGCGATCGCTTAGCGATGGTCCCTATGGGGAAAATTTGCTTTGTGATGATCGCGGGGAAGCGATCATCGCAAAGCCCCCTTTTTCAGCCAGCTGATCAGTGGTTTCAAAATGGCCACCGGAAAAACAAAATGACCGCCCGCTGTGTTCCCTCACTTTAGAGGCACCAAAAATGACCACCCCATGGAGGATTTTCGCTTAAAGTTAGTTTTTAAGCCCATAGGAACGCATTAATGGCGTTTTAATGCGTTTCTATGGGCTTTTAAATCTGTTTAGTGATGAAATCGCTTAGCAACGTTTTTTCCTGCACGGATTAACATCGCTAAGCGAGGCACCATTGTACATGCTTATGCAGCTATATTACATGTAAGGAGGTGGTTAGATTTGTAAAAGTGTTTTGATCCCAGGCTATTTCAGCATACAGTTCTTCAATTTTTAGACAAAATACATGGGTGATCCCATTACAGCTGAGAAGAAACCTGGTTCAAAAATACTTACCAACATTATTATATTTGAAGTCTAAAGAAACAAAATAGAACAGAAAAAGAGAACACCACACCATCCTCAGGAGAGTTTTTCCCCTCTTGCCTTTACCATACTACTTTGTTATTAGCCACACTCCCTTTGTGCCCTCCTAATTAGAACAAAGACTATGACAAATAGCAGTGAAATATTAATCTCTTTAGAGACTTCTGCTACTAATGTGCTGAGTGTCTCCTGAAATAAAGTTTTACATCCTTCATTCTTACAAATAGCAATGGCAATTTAGCATAACCCATCACTAAACAATATTGTTCTCTTTACAATGTCAAGATAAGCTTTTAGAAAGTTTTTTTTAAAAAAAAAAAAATCCTATTAGCACTAACCTAAAACTTAGGCCCACTGAATTCAGTACTGCTTACTTCTGAGAAGACATATATAGGATTGCACTAGACGTCATTGTTATATTTTGTTTGTTTGTCTTGAACATCTTATAAGATGTTCAAGACAAACAAACAAAATAAAAGGGTGATGGTGTTTTGTTTTAGTTTTTCTTAAAGCATCTACATCTAGAGCATTTAAAGATGCTAATTGTGGGGGGATTTTTGCTTTAATATGCAGAAATGCCACATGTATTTAAATTATTATGGACTAGTTATACAGGCATAAAAACATTCCTTATATGCACAGGGTAGTTGCTTTCAGTTAATAATATGTAGAAGTAAAAGGAACCTTACTCCAAAGAACTGAAAAGTTCTTGATCATGCCAACTGGGCCAGGGAACAGACAGCCCATCCACACTGGCATACAGATGGTTCTATGGATTCACCACTGTAAACAATTCAGCACAATCCAAAATAACTCTTTGTTACGCTGAGTGGATGGATATCTTTCAATAAAATGTCACTGGGGGCGGTGTTAACTGCCTTGACAACCATGTGACACATTAGATGAGTTGTGGCATTAAAAGGGAGGGTGGAGAAATGGTGTTAACTGCCTTGACAACCCTGTGACACATCAGATGAGTTGTGGCATTAAAAAGGAGGGTGGAGAAACCTCCTCCTCAATTTTATCTTCTTTTCAAAAATTTTGCCCAATGAACATTGTGAAATTCTAGAACCATGTTAGGTTGATGTATTGCCATTTTGGTATGCCACTTTATTTAACACATACACACAAAAGAAATTCACCCTAGCCCCCTGAATAACAGCTGAGAGAAGAGGCAGGGAAGGGAGCTATGTTGACTCCATGGGCTGTGCCCACAAGGAAGCACACCCCAGCAGAGCCGGAGGACAAAGGTTGGAAAAGTGGCTGGTACCTCCCTTCAGTCTCCCCAACCTTAACCCAATATTTCCCCATCGTGCTATAGCTGTCCTCATCTACTATTCTGGCTGCCTCCTTACTCGCAAGTAAATCAGCTAAATTTACTCACGAATAAACTGTGCAAATCTTGCTTGCTACTAAACTGGGTATACTTTGCTTTGTGTGAACCCGTAGCATGATCTCCAGTGTGAATGGAAGGGTCAACCCAAGTGAGAGTTAAAATAAATTGCATTTAAGAACCTTTTAAGCACAGACTGGACTGTACCAAGATTCCCACTTCGCAATTAGCAAGGAGGTGATGGTCCTCCCATTCTTGCCACCTAGCAATAGTGGGATTTCGTTTGCTTGCTTATTTGCGGTTTGGTTGTTTGGGCAAGCTTTTCGCTGCTCTAGCCTTCCTCTTTCAGGAGAACTGAAGTTGTATTTTCCAATTTAGCCTGTATGTATTTATTCATCTCTTTTCAAAGTCTTTTAATCAAGCAGTTATCACATTTTATGGCAGCAAACTCCATTAATGATATCTTTGTTCTTTTTTTCTCAAAGTTTCATAGAATCATGAAGTTGGAAGGGGCCTATATGGCTATCGAGTCCAAACCCCTCCTCGATGCAGGAATACAAATCAAAGGAAATGTGCCAAGTGATTCTCTAAATTTTTCTCGAATTCCTCCAGTGTTGGAGCACTCACCACCTCTTGAAGTAATTGAGTTCACTGCTGTACTGTTCTAACAGCTATGTAGGAAGTTTTTCCTGCTATTCAACCCAAATCTGTCTTCCTGTAACTTGAGTCCATTGTTGGGTGTCCTGCACTCTGGGATGACTGAGAACAGATGCTGCCCCTCCTCTGATTGGAAACCTTTCAGGTATTTGAAAAGTGCTATTATATCTCCCCTCATTCTTCTTTTCTCAAGGCTAAACATGCCCAATTCTTTCAGTCTTTCCTCATAAGGCTTAGTTTCCAGACCCCTGATCATCCTTGTTGTCCTCCTCTCAACTGTTCTAATCTTTTGAAGTGCAGTATCCTGAACTAGAAACAGAACTTAAGATGAGGCAGTACCAGCACCAAATAGAGGATAATGAGTACCTCATGGGATTTGGAGACTATACTTCCTCTTAACATTTAGTCGAGTTGTGTCTGACTCAAGGGCACGGTGCTCATCTCTGTCTCCAAGCCATAGAGCCAACATTTATCCGTAGACAGCTTCCGTGGTCACATGGCCAGCACAACTAGACACAGAATGCCGTTACCTTCCCACCGAGGTGGTACCTATTTATCTACTCACATTTACATACTTTCAAACTGCTAGGTTGGCAGAAGCTGGGAAAAGTGACGGGAGCTCACTCCGTCATGTGGATTTGATTTTATGACTGCTGGTCTTCTGGCCTTGCAGCACAGAGGCTTCTGCGGTTTAACCCGCAACACCACCATGTCCTTCTGTTAATGCAGCCTAAAATAGCATTTGCCTTTTTTTGTAGCCACATCACACTGTTGGCTCATATTCAGCTTATTATCTGTGACAATTCCAATGTCTTTCCTGCTCCTAGTATTGATCAGCCAGGTATCCCCCATCTTGTAACTGTGTGTTCAGTTTCTTTTT